TTGTTTGACAATAATAAATCGTTTACTTTGTTTAATAAACTACGACTATTTATATGTAGGATTGACAAGAGGTTATTAGGTTTTAAATCATTATTATTTAACATGTTCAAAAGATTATCAATTGAATAGTAAGGAGAAGAGAAAGTGAAGGAATCCAGTATGTTAAAGTCAGGGTCAATGTTTGAGTGAAATGTACTATGATCAATAACAGGAATTAATGAACACGATTTGTCATAATTTGGATTAGTTGACGATTGATTTGAAGAAGATTCAGCCATTGTTGATCGATGAGGTTTCTTCCGATTTTTTGGAGGTGAAATGCCATTCACGAATGATGACACCTTCGGGCATGTTATCAGGGTCTTGCATTTTAGTAGCATCAGCAGTGTTGACGCATACTCGAAACATTGTTGATTCGATGTCGTCGTTGTTTAGCGTTGTACCTGGAGGAACTGTTGAAAGTTTGCTGACTGGAAAGCACGATAATACATTAATACCAATATCAGACAAATATTCGACAACTTTACTTCTGCTGCATTTTTTAACGTTACTCATTGCGAATACCGATTTTTTTACTATGATTTTCTCGGCACAAAGTTTGTCGGTGGCGCATTTTTTTAGACCAATTATTTTATTAGGTTGATTTGGTGGATTTCCTTTAAGCGATGATTGATCGTTAGGGTTGACTTGGTTGGCAACCGGAGAGTTGTTTGTGCGAGCACTTTTTTTGTTTCGAACGACCACGCTGTATGGCAGAGGGTTGTCATCAGTCGGTGTCGTAATTTCGTCGGACCAAAACATGGCTGGTTTGGAGGTAACAGCTTGCTTGTTCATATCGGAGTTAACTGCTGACGGAACTGAGTTTATGTTCAGTTTCGAGGTATTTTTGTCTTTATTGTACGACAAACAGTTTATTTTGTTGTTAAGCGCCGACATATCATGTGTATGCACGTCTATTGTTTGCACTAATTTATTTTTCAAAGAAGTTATATCTTGCGTGTGCACGTCAAGTGTTTGTATGAGTTTGTTATGTTGAGTGTACAACATATTTTTTAATTCATTTTTCAGAATTTCAAAGTTTATTTTGATGACATTTTCGAAGTTAGGAACATTAGATAAATTAACGCTGGCAAATATTGAGCACTTATCCATAAGTTTTTCCTCTTTCAAAAAAATAAGAATTTGTGTTAATACTAACAGTTTATCGCGCCTTGTGTTGCCACGTGAAGTAGGTTTTTCAAACTTTTCAATTTTAACATTTTCCAACTCTAATTTCAAAATTTTTTGAGCGTCAATAAAGTCCTCGTTGGAGAAAAATTCAGCAGTATTATTTATAAACGTCTCATTATCAAATAAGTCGAAGTTACCAACCAAAAAATATAGAACTTCGCTAATTACAACCGGTCTCGCCGCCATGATAAAACATTTGAACATATATATATATATATATATATATAATGACCCGCTTATCTAATACATTTTAATTTAATTTAAATTTTTCCATTATTGTTATTAGAAGAAATAAATTGTTGTTTAGCACAGCACAACACTGGTCACATAGCAAAATATTTGAATATTTCACGCTATGTGACGCTCAAATA